AAAGAGTTGGGAAGAGGTTTGTGCAGAAGCAGAAGGTGACATTTTTTGAATGCCTACACTATGCTAAATTCTTTATAAAATATCTTTAAAAAATTTATTTATTTACTTTTAGAGAGAGGGGTGGGAGGGAGAAGGAGAGGGAGAGAAACATCAGTGTGTGCGAGATGCATCGATCAGTTGCCTCTCCCAGGCTCCCAACCGGGGCCTGGCCTGCAACCTTGGCGTGTGCCCTGACCGCTGAGCCACACCAGCCAGGGCTGTACTATCTTTTTAAATGCTCAAAAGGACTCTTCGAGGCAACATTATGAACAGATGACTGGCAGGACATGGGCAACAGGGACAAAGAGATTTGGGTTTGATTATTGGCTCTGCCGCTTATCAGCTGTGTGGCCCTATGCAAACTGTTTGACTTCTCTGAGCCTCAGTTTTCTCCACTGTGTCTTTGTTGCAGATGGTACCTGGATGGTCCTCCTCCCAGCGAAGGTCCACCTACTGGGGCTTGGGGCCAGGAAGAACAACTCAATCCTTGGACTCACAGCCTGGAGCTCTGTTCCAAGAGCCCGGAAAAGCTGGACTGAAATGTGTTTCCAGCTCCTGTGTTTGTCGAGTGACTTTGCTCGCCCTAGGGGAGCCTGGATCTCCAAGGAGGCAGGAAAGGTTCGTGTTTCTGTGGACACAACATTCAGGTTAGGCTTTAGCCAAATTTATGACTGAGTCGTAATTAGCAAGGTTTTATAGGACCTAATTCACATCATGCGAACACACTTGAAGTTCAAAGCTGCATTAGGATTTTCCATAGCTGGGTTGACCAACATCACCAAAGATTAATTGAGCAGCTATTATAAATGCAGTGAGAGAAACAACAATGTAAAATTCAGAAGGTGGGAGGTTAAAAGGCAATATTTGAAATTTTAAAAATGTGGTCTTTCACTTAATCTGGTTATTATTACATTACAGACACCGATTTAGGCATAGGAGAACACAAATAATAATTAATGTTTACTGAGCACTTAGCATATGACAGGCAGTGTGCTAAGTGCTTTATATTTATTAACCTCCTCAATCTCCATAACAACCCTATGAAGTAGGTATTGTTTACCATCATTTTATATGTGGAAATGGAGGTATAGAGAAGACAGCTTGATCAAAAGTCACACAGCTTGGAAGTTAAATATTTTGTTCAAGTAAAGATGGATATAAGAAGGTTCTTTGTGCTCCAAGAATCTCACAGTATATCATGGAAGAAGACATTGCTAAGAATAAAATAATAGCTAATATTTATTAAATTCTTTACATGAACTATCTCATTTTATCCCTACAGCGACTTTATGAGTTAGGTTCTGTTATATTCTATTATAGCGATGAGAAAACTTGCATGACTTAGTAACTTGCTCAGCTGGATTTCGAGGTTCTGTTATATTCTGTTACAGTGATGAGGAAACTTGCTTGAGTTGGTAACTTGCCCAACTGGAATCTGAAATGAGGCAGATTGCTAGGGAAGATCACATTGGCAACTGCAACACCACCCTGACTGTTCTGCTGGGTGATGTAGAATCCAGACTAATGCATTGGCACAAAGAAGCTCCTTGGAGCAGGGGAATATTTGACTTGGACCTTGAAGGATTGGTAGAAGATTAGCTTTTCCCGCCCCCCCTTAGTATACAGTGGAGTGAACAGATAGTTGTGGGTTCGAATTTCAGCTCCACCATCTTCCCAGCTGAATAACTTGGGTTCATCTTCTCTGACCCTCAATTTCCTTAACTGTTTTTTTAAAGGAACTTCTTTAATCCTACAAAGGGTGTCGATTTTCTTAAAAATTTATTTTTTTAATTTTAGAGAGAGGGGAAGTGAGGGAGGGAGGAAGAAAAACACTGATGTGAGAAACAGCGATTGGTTGCCTCTTGTACATACTTCAAAGGGGGTGGGGGAACCAAACCTGCAACTCAGGCATTTGGCCTGACAGGGAGTTGAACCGGCGACCTTTTGCTTTGCAGGACAATGCTCAACCAACCTAAGCCACACTGGTCAGAACCTCCTTAATTGTTAAATAGGGATGATGAAAACTATTTTTCTAAAACACCATGAGGAATAAATGTGACTGGATGTAAAAACACCCAGCTAGGTGTCTGGCAGGCGGCATGGGGGCTCAGCGATTGACACTGTGGACGGATGGATATAACGGCAATAGCTAGTCCCTACAGAGCACTTACCACGTGCCAGGCACCATTCCAAGCACTTAACATAGATTTACTTATCAACGATCCTCTTAAATAGGTACTATTTTTAGACCCATTTCATAGAGGAGAAACTGAAGCACAGAGAGGTTAAACGAGTTATCTGAGCTAGCAAATGACAGAAGTAGGGTTGGAACCCAGGCAGTCTGACCCCAGAGTCCACTCTATATAGCACGTGACTCTACTGCCTTCATTGCAAAAAGTGGGGCTGAGACAGCTATCCAGTAGCACCACAGGATCAGGAGTGGGAGGAGGGAAGTGGGTCATCAGGAGAGGCTTTTGGGCGGTTCCACGAACGTGGCATTTGCGCAAAGACCTGAAGGAGGCAAGGGAGTGGGAATTGCAGGAATTCTGGGAAAAGAATGTTCTGTGGAGGAAGAAGAGCAAATGCAAAGGCCCTGAGGCAAGGAAGGATGTTTGGCATGTTCAAGGCAAGGCAAGGAGGCTACCTGGCTGGGGTGGGAGAGTAGTAAGAGATAAGGACAGAAGGGTATGGGGGCTGCAGAGGGAGAACACATCGCCACCCATCTTCCCGATTAGTGTGTGCGTTATAAAAAACATGACTATAGGATGCAAAATGTGCATGCTTTTCAAAGTTTGAAGGTGAGACTTGAGGCAGTGTGCTTATGGACCCTCCTCTGCATAGACATTTTCTCCCTATCACCCTCCCCGATCAGCTTTGCCCATCCTTGTGAGTGAGTCACACAGGGGTGGAAATTGGGAAATGCTGGTGTGAGTGACGTGATCAGGATTCTAAGAAGAGCCTCTGGGTCTGAGCCTGGGAGATCATCACCATCGCAGGGCTGGGTGGAGGATGGTGCCTCTGGTCTCCACCCAGCTAAGATCTGAGTTTAGTCAATGAGGCCTAAAAATCCCTGGTCTGCTTAGCCTTCAAGGTCCTGGTCTTCTTCATATCCTGGCTTTCAGCACAGCAAATATTTGCTGATTCAAAGTGAATTTGATAAACCCTCAGATACACCCCTGAAACCAGCCTTGAATAGTCTTTTCCCTCAGGGCCAGCCCAGGTGCTTCTTTGAGGTTCCATGTGATCTTTTAGATCTGGATCTTCTTGGATCTGCTTTGATCTGGTTCATCATTTTGGTTCCTTTTCAGGCAGTGGAGAGGAAGAGGGCTGGAAGGGAACTTTGGTATAGCTCGCGATTCCGTGAGAAACTAGCACTGGATTCAGTTCAGAGTCCAGCAAGGCAATCAGTTTGTTTTTGGTTCATGTCCCCATTTAGGGGGCAGCCTCCTGGTGCTTCTTTTCAACAAACAAGCTGGTCGTAGAGGAGTTGAATATGATGCTGGCCTGCAGGGGTGAACAGGGACAATAGAAGGCCCAATGCAATGATAACAGCCATCACTGACTGAACAGGGCACAAGGACCAGGAATTGTCCTTGCCTTAGGAGTAATGAAACTGAGGCTAATGGGTAGGTTTAGGGACCTTGAAGTTTCAGGACAGTCTGACTCCAGAGCCTGTTGTGCTTCTAACCTCTGGAGTCCGCTGCCTCTTTATCAGAGTCCCTACAAGAATATGTGAGCAAATTGCTTTGGTCTGGAAGAGGAAGAAGTGGCAGGTTTCACTGTATTTTTATGCAAACATTTAATTTGCTCAAACATTAAATCATCTGTGAAACTTACTGCTATGCACTAAGGACGTGGAGACAAACCTCTGTTCGGCTTTTCTGGACTTGTCATTCAGCCTGACCAGGGAAGTGGGGAGGAGTAGCTAGCTGTGAGTCAAATACTACGGAGAGTCCAAAGAGGGAACAAGTAACTGTCTCCAGAGCGAGTGACATTTCCCTGGGCATTCCACAGTAGCAAATCTGGCCTGAGTGCTACGGACTGGCTGAAAGTATCACAGCCCCTATCCTCAGTGCAATTTTTGTGATTTGAGGAGCCCTACATCAACATTGTCCTGGTGCTTGTTAAGTTGGGAATTTCTCCCTTCTCTGGAGGAGAATCAGAGAATTGGAATAAGAGGGGTCTGGGAGTAGCACGCAGGTGGAATTGATGTACACTCATGTTTGCCAGGTGAATGGGGGGAAGAAATCAGCCCAAGCAGGAGGAAAAAGCATGGACAATAGTTTGGGGGTCCTTCGTGGCCTGCAGACACTGGGATTGCAGTTCAAGACTAAGTTGTGGGAGGAGAGGGATCCTGTCACCCGGGGCCTGGAACACAGGCTTCCTAAATATTTGGGATGTATTCACCTGGCAAACTTGAGTGTTCATCAGATTCACCTGGGTGCCTGGAACACAGGCCTCCTAAATATTTGGGATGTATTCACCTAGCAAACTTGAGTGTTCATTAGATTCACCTGGGTGCTAGGCCGGCTCTTGAAGTGACGAGTCAAAGGGAGAAACGAAGCCGTCAAAGGAGGAAAGGAAATGTGTTTCTAAGGGGATGAAAACTTTCCAAAAAGTTGACCTGGAAAAGGCAGCTCCATCTAACAGGAGTTTGGGGAAGTAGTCGCTTTGGCAAAGGGCAATGAATCCTGAGGCCGCAGATTGGGAGCCGGCGGAAAGAGCTTACTTGCCTCCCTAGGCAGGCTGAAGGTGTGAGGTCACGGGGCGCAAGGCCAGCAGCAGCTGCGAGGCCTCGCCCGAACTGCGGTGGGAGACAGTGTCAGGCTCCAGCCCACTGGGGAGATTTCTTCCCCCGCCTCCGGAGCAGTAACTCCGGATCCTACCCTCCGCCAGCGCCTAGGCCACGCCCCCGGGGCTGGGTCACGCCCCTCTAGAGACCCCGCCTCTTAGTGGCCCCGCCCCTGGGTCCCACCCGGAGGTTTGAAGCAGCTCGGGCTGGGGCGGCCCCAGAGTCGCGCTCGAGGCGTGGGGTGGTGCTGAGAAGCCGGGACTGTCCTGGAAGGCGCAGAGCGGCGGGAGGCCACTCCAGAGCACCCCGGAGCAGAAGCAGCAGCCGCTACCAGTGTCCGCGGAGCCCACCGAGCTGGCCATGGCGTTGTCGATGCCGCTGAACGGTCTGAAGGAGGAGGACAAAGATCCCATCATTGAGCTCTTCGTCAAGGTGAGCGCTCGCACGCGGTCCAACGCTGCTGAGCCGACCGCGCCTGGCCGACTGCGGGGGGCGGTGTCCCTGGGCGAGGGACGCTTATCCGCCCCTGCGCCCCCGCAGCGCCCCCGCGCGGCGCCCAGCATCCGGGGATGAGAGAAGCGCTGCTCTTGCACCCCCGGCCCATTGTCTCGGGGCCACCCGCGCCTTCCCGCCGCCGACGTTGGTCCAAGGAGCCGGGGTGGGACCGGGACCGCCGAAAGCTAGCACTCTGGGGCTGTCGTCACCGCCTTGCGCTGCGCGGGCTCCGGCGGACGCCAGACGGTGGTCCCGCGCCCCTGTGGGACTAGCTGCTCCCTCTCGGGCCCCGGAGTTCCTGTCACCACACCAGCCCGGGCTCCGGGCTCCCGACCCCCCCCCGCCCCCCATTCCAGTCCTCAGCCCTCCAATTCCACCCCCAGCCAGGGAGCCGAACCCTCGAACCAGTGGGGAAATGAACTGAACTTTGGACGCTGTCCGAAAGAGCATTTTTCTCGCTGATATGAAGCCGTAACTTTAATTTTCCATGCTATCTTAATTTATTTCTTTTTAAAAAAGAGAGCAGACATTCCTGGGCTTCCGGAAAAGCCCGAGATTCCCAACTTGGGTTTTCCTGTGTTAGGTATTTTACCACCATCTGGTTTTCTTGTTTTTCAAACGCGGAATGTTTTGTATGATGCAACATTTTGGCTGCTCCCCTCGGTGTTGCTGCCTCGGGAAGATTGTGTGCGCTCTTTTGTTTTGAAAGAAAAGCTGGTGAGGGAGGGAAAGAAATTAATAACTTGTCTGGGCTTTAGAGGGTTGATTTCCCTCTCGAGTCTCTTCAGTTGTTATATCCTGGGACTACCTTATTTGCCTACAAATACTATCCCTGTCCCTTTCTTTCTTTATTTTTGTAATATTTTTCGTTGAAGCAAAGGAGAGAGTAGAAGTTAAGAACATCTGGATCCAGCTGCCTCCCTCAAAACTTCTTTAAAATCCTCTAGATCCTTTCAGTCACTTACTGTAGCAGACTCATTCAGAGCTAGGCTCTGAAGGGAAAGCTAACAGAAAATCAGAACAATTTTGTTCGTTTTTTCCTGAGGTTTTTAATGAAGGACCCTTTTAGTGAAGGGAAGACATTAAAGGGTGTGTTTGAGGCATGGAGAGAAGACCTGATCCACAAAGGATCACAACAGTGTCAGTTTTAGGATTTCCTTTAGGTTATCAGTTTTAGAAACATTTTGGTCTAGGAAACTGAAACAGGAGATAGGTATGGAAACCCCAGAATATCTCAGAAGAGTCTCAGTTACTTTGGGTGGCAGATAGAGTACTCTGAGGTGCAGAAAATGTAGGAAGGAAGCTGAAATCAGAGAAAGGAGTGGAAGGCATGAAGGGCGGGCCAGCGATGAGTGTTAAATATTTTTTACTGAGCGAGGCACAGGTGGGAATTTCCAGAAACTCAAACAGTATATCTACTAAAAACAAACAGAAAACGTGATACTTAATGGTGAAACTGTAGCAGTAGCATTAAATCTAGGCTCTGATAAGCGTACCATCAGTAATGGTTGCTCTTCAGTATTGTACTGGAGGTCCTAGTCAATACAATAGGGCAAGAAAATATGAAGTCTATGAATTAGAGAGGAAGAGATCAATGCTCAATGACCTGCTTACTATTAATTTAACCCTTAAATTAGGAGGACAGGGAGGAGGTGCATTTGTTTCCCCCAGGTGAGTCACTTGCATACCCCTTCCCAGTTTTCCAGATTTGTGGTAGATCAGTATTATTATTTACTGAATACAACTCATTTCTTAAAAACCGTAGCTTAGCCTTAAGTAATAATACCTGTGAAATTATGGGTTAGGTGTAATTCTTTTAAGTATAACGACAAAAAAATATTTGTGAACCAGCTAAATCATCCTGTTTACCACTAGTTGTAAGCCTTTCTCACAGGCCTTGGTGGGAGAGAACCAGGGTTCAAGCCACAGTTCTTTCCTCGCTGGCTTGGTTGCCTTGGGCACGTTGTTTTCCCTCTCGAAGACTGACTTTTCTTGTTTGTGAAGAGGTGAAATGCTTTTGGCTGCCCTGTGATTCAGCATAGGCAAAACTGTGTACTGCTGTAAACCAGGATAGTTGTTTCAAAGGGAGATTGCGGGGGGCAGATAAATTGTGGTAAAGAGTATTTTTCATTTCTTCTGAAAACCTATATGCTGGAAATGCAAATGGGGGAAAATACCCCTGTAAATGTCATTATTTTGAAAGCAGCGAGGGGGCAGAACCATGGTTGTCCAGTGTTGTTTTAAACAGTGTTAATTATTCCGCCACAAGGTTCCGTAGCAGAAAACTATTGTCTATACTTAAAGCACCTGAGTCAAAAATATATTGAACCTACCTGTGTTGGTAGCTTTACATGTCAGAGAAATAGGCTCGGACCCAACTAGTGTGACTGGACTCAAAGCTACAGTTCCCTTTCTTGTGAGTATTGCTTTTGGGATTCTTTGCCTGTGAGTCCAGTGACTCCTCATTCCCTGTCTAACAGCAGTTGTCCATTTTAGGGTAGGGACCTGCGCAGTAGTAAAGAGGCTTGCCAAGGCAGTCATCCTCAACAGTGAGAGAATGCTCCATTCCGCCACCCTGAGGGACCTGATAGGCGTATATTTCCATAACGCCAGCCCTGCTGGGAACCTCCAACCGATGAGGTGAAGTTCAAACCCTTTAGCCAGGGCCTAGAGCGTTATCTGACTGCTGCCTGGGTTTCTAATCCAATTTGTTCACTTACTGGTTGTGTTTCCAAACATGTTGCTTAAACCTTTCTGTGCCTCATCTGCGCAATTGGGATATTAGTAGACCAATCTCATGGGATTAAATTGGTTAATATATGTGGCATAGAACAGTGACTAGTACACAGTAAGCAAGTAAATGCTAATTGTGTTGTATGTACATATTTAGATGCAGATCCCCCTACTGGTAAGTAAGGAATTGGAGTGGTGGTTGTGGGAAAAAAAAAAGAAAAAGAAAAAGAAAAAAAAAATTGTGCTGAGTGGTTTAATACATAAGAATAGCTGTTTCTTTTGAGATATTTGGCAGGGTTTCCAATGTGCTTGGACCCTACAGCCAGACTGCTTGGCTTAGACCTGGCTTCCAGGAGTGTCAGGCAAATTTCGTAAGTTCTTACTACCTTATTTCCCTGACCTCTAGTATCAGGATAGTAATAATAATTTTATAGGGTTGCTGAGGGGATTAACTGGTAGTCTATGTGTATTAATTAGGGTAGTCTAAGCTGTAATAAATAATCCATGCCAAACAATAGATCAATTAAGATAGTTTTTTTTTTTTCTTGCCTAGCAGCCCAGTTAGGGTGTCCTAGAGGTTGGGGTGGCTTTCCTCCTTAGAGTTGCGTAGGGATTCAAGCTCTTCCTCCCCCACCCCCCGCCCCTCCAGAGCGTTGGCGTCTGAGTAGTCAGAGCTGGTGACTGAGAAGTCCTGGTTGCAGCCAGCAGGAGGTGGAGAGTATGGAGGAGGCATGTTTCTCTTAAGGGTCCCAGCCCAGAAGTTCTACCTTTCACTTCCTTTCATACTCCACTGGGGACAACTTAATCACATGGTTCCATCTAACTGCAAGAAATGCTGGAAAATGTGATCTAGTCATGTACCACCCTATGTAAAGCTTTAGAAATAGTGCTTGACACACAGACCACTTATTTTTGTTTTTGATGATAATACATTCTTAAATGTGGGCTTCATTAATAGGATTCAGGGATTCTGTAAATCTATGAAATTACATAAAAGATTCTATGTGAGGTTTTCCCCTGCAGATTCCTAACCCAAGGGTTAAGAACCATTTTTCTAAAAAAAGTAAATGGTAACATTCTGATTGTCAAGCATAATTCATATAAGCAAAGTATAGAAGAAAGTTTGGGTTAGATGACCATTCAAGTCACTTCTGTTTGATCATCTGTGACTTATACTGGCATGAATTAAATGCCTAATATCGAGTTAGGTACTATGGGAGATTTAAGAAATGTTTCAAAATTTCCTTTCAGTATATAAATTTTATTGGAAAGAAAACAATATATTCAGGGGTGACTGACCTGTGGCCTGTGGACCACATGCAGCCCAGGATGGCTGTGAATGTGGCCCAACACAAAATCGTAAATTGAATTAAAACATTATGATATTTTTTTGTGATTACATGTTGCCAGTATTTAATGTGTGGCCCAAGACATCTCTTCTTCTCCAAGTGTGACCCAGGGATGCCAAAAGGTTGGACACTCCTGCATGGCACATGCTTAAGAGGTCCAGTGTGGTTCACATTAAGTTGGGCTAGGAGATGGGGAAGGATGAAGGTAGGTTTGAACTTGACCGTGAAAAAGCGGGTGAAGTAGTTGGATGTGGAAGAGCAAAGAATGGGAATGTTAGTTGTGACATCATTTGTAAACTCCTTTTGCAGGGACCAATAGGTAGATTGATAATTTTGAAAGAAGGAACCAGGAATGATTTAAATCCATAGTGCCAGGGAGACAAGATATTTACAAGTTGAGGATGAGAACCTGACTTAAGTTTTTGCTAATACGTACGATTTTCCTAGCCTTGCTTGTTCTCCCAACACTTCCCTGTTTTATGGATTGCTGTCTGTTCAACAACTTTCCAGTGGATTTGGGAAGGTGCGAACGGGTCACAGAGGCGGGCAAACTGTTAGCTGCTCTGCCAGTATGAAGTGGGAGTTCTCCATGTGTTGTTTCAGGGGCAGACATCAACCTTCCCTTTTTAAAAAACACAGACAAGTGAAATAAAATTCTTGTAGGAAATGATGCGGAGAACTTTTTCTCATAATTGAACACACTCGCTCACCATCAATATAGTGTTACCATGGATGTAATTGGTTTGTCATTCATTTGAGGTTTTCAGAGGGGAAAATCCAGGTGATAGAAATGAATGTAAAAACGTGAAGTCAACGGGAACTCTGTTTTTGCTAAATTTTGTCTGAGCTATTACT